GTGTGTATATATATATATATATGTATATATATATATATATATAAAATACACACACACATATATAAATATATATACATATATTTTTTAAATAGGCCTCAGCCAAAATTAATTCAGGGAAATCAAGTAATGTCTAAACCTGCCTAACAGTGAGTTCTTCATCAAGTGATCCCTTTCTACACCTCCAAATTTATCACCTCTAAGAACTCCCCTGTTAAAGACAAACTACTCCAAATTACTCCACATATTCTTTATACATCCAGAAACAGGTCATCTTTTATTCATAAGCCTTACCCTCACCCTTTTCTCCATTTAATTCTAAGGTTCAGCTTGAATTCCATATTTTCTAGGAGGTTTTCTCTATCTTCTCCATCGAATAGTGATCACTTCTTCAATGAGACTTTTGTATATAGTCGTTATAGAACAACTTATGTAGCTATTTGGTTTTCTGGATGTACATCTCCCTCACATGGTCATTAGAATGTTAAGAACAAGCAATGTTCTAGAGCTCTCTGTACTGCACCAGCCTGCACAGAGCTGTCTGTGTAATTGGAAGATATCATAAAATTTAGTAGATGTGACAATGAAGCAGTGTACCACAGCAGATACAATTGAATATTCCTTCTTCTCTTTGGAAATCTCAATAGTCAAGTGGGAGTTCTATAAAATTACCCATAAGACTAATCTAGAAATTAAAAGTAGGAAGAGGCCAAGAGACGATCACATTAGAGCTGCTACTTTCCCTGCACTAGCTTAGGAGGCAGTAAAAAGGGAGATAAATCAATGTATCTGAAATGCCCTTGTCTAGCCTGCCACCAGAATATTCTCCACATTCCCATGATCTTTAAATGGATTATGAATGGAACTTGTGTTCCTGTACAGATCTCAGAGGATGCAAGTAAAGTACTTTGCGAGCAGCAAACTGTTATCATAAACATCCAAGTGAGAACCACAATCATTCTCAATTGGGAAGTGACATAGGATAGTGGTTAAGAGTGTGTTCATTAGCATCAGACTGTTCATGTTCATCATGCTAGTTCTGCCGCTTCTTAGCTGCATGACTAGAGGCAAGTTACTTCTCTGGCCAAGCCTTCACCTATAAAATGAAAATGATAACAGTACTCGCCTCAAAGAGCTGCGATGAGGATTCATATAAGTAAAGCACTTAGAAAAGTGCCGGACTAAGCAAGTCTATATATATAATTATTATTATTAACCATTACTAGTATTCCTAATTCTTCTCAGTGACTCAACTTATCTAATTGGCCATCAAGTCCTACTGATTTTTCACTAAAATCTCTCTCAAATTCATATCTTCCATTCCTATCACTGTTTCAGTTCATACTATCAGACTGTAACAGTCACATTTATTCAATTCTCAAATTTATAAACAGAGTAATGATGACCCAATATTAGATTCTGGGGACAGAAATATGGAAACCAAATTAAAAGCTATAATTTCAACCCGCAATGATCTAGGGAACTCCAGAACTAATAAATCAGAAATTAGAGTACAGCAGGATTAGTGCACACTAGAGGAATGAATGCACATGGATGCTAAGGGAATATAGAGAAAAGGACTACAAAAGAGTATTTCTGAGTTCTACTTCCCTCCAAAAGACATAGCATGGATTTTACATGTTCCCAAAAAACTATGAACACACCCTATCGGAGCACATTATATTGTGTTTATTGGATGTCCACAGCCATTGCAACTTAACTTGTGTAAAACAGACCTCTAATTCTCCCACCTGCAGTCTGCTCTCAGCACGCCTCCACTAGGCTCCTTCCCAGTCTCTCCCAGGTCAAATGGCAGTGCCTAAGGCAGTGCCAGAGGAGTCACCTTTGTCTCCTCTTTCCCTGATCCCCATCAAATGCATCAACAAGCCCTGTGGGTTCTAACTCCAAACCCACCACTTCTCTACACTTTTATTACCACTTCCATGGTTCAAGTCACCATCATCTCGCACACGGATTACTGCACATTTCCTAACTCGTCTTTCTGCTTCTATGTTGCTCCCTGAAACTATTTTCCAAATGGAGATGAAAAGAATCACTTTAAAACAATGAGATCCTCCTCAAAAACACTCCAATGGCTCCCCAATGCAATTAGAACAAAACCCACCATTTTAAGGTCCTGTGTGATTTGGGCCCTGCCTTCACTTTCCTAAACAGACCTAGTACTCTCTTCGTTTTCCACCCGCCAGCTTTATCAGTTTTCTTTCTGTTCCTCTACTGAACCACTATCATTCCATGTTAAGGCCCAGCCCACGGCTGACTTCATCATACCCCCAGCTCAGCTCTTGGGCTGAAATGTCAGAGTCTCTTCCTTGACCTCTTACCTAAAGTAGCCTCTCTCCTAGTCACTCTCTTATTAGGTTATTTACACTTATATCATTTGAAATTATATCATTTATTTCTTCACTAATTCCACCCCTTCTCCCCCGGGCTCCCACTAGAAGGTAAGTTCCAAGAGATCTAGGCTCTTATCTCCTGCTCACTGTTAGAGCTGTAATGCCTAGAAAGGTGCACAGTACAAAATTGGTACTCAGTAAAACATTTTCAATATAATCAATGTTGATGACTGGAACAAAGTAGTTTTAATGGTAGGGATGGGGTGGAAGCAAGTTTGATGAGGACTAATAAATGAGTCAGTACTAAGGAAAAGGAAGCATGATTGTGAGAAGAGAGGTAGAGTGAAAGTTAGAAAAAACCAAGGTTGTTGAAAGGTCATTACAAAGTAGAAAATCTTGTTTCTTTTTATTTTCTCTCAAATATATTTTTATTGATTTCAGGGAGGAAGGGAGAGGGAGAGGTAGAGACATCAATGATGAGAAAGAATCATTGATCAGCTGCCTCCTGCCAGCAACCCAGGCATGTACCCTTGACTGGAATAGAACCTGGGACCCTTCAGTCCACAGGCCCATATTCTATCCACTGAGCCAAACCAGCTAGGGCTAGAAAATCTTGTTTCTTAATTCTCTTTACATCAAGGAAAGCTTCCAAAATTAAGCAAAAGCCCTGGGTTCTCTACTAAATGCAAGCACCTACACAACTTCACAGTTTCAGGGGATTCAAGAACCCCCTAAATTCTTGTACTCCGGGTTAAGAAGCCCTGCAGTGTGAACACAATAAAGATTCTAAGACATAGGTTAATGCTAACTAATGGAGCAAGGCCACTGGGCCCGTGGTCGGCAAACTGAGGTTCGCGAGCCACATGCGGCTTTTTGGCCCCTTGAGAGTGGCTCTTCCTAAGCCTTACGAGTACCCTAATTAAGTTAATAACAATGTACCTACCTAAATAGTTTAAGTTTAAAAAATTTGGCTCTCAAAAGAAATTTCAATCGTTGTACTATTGATATTTGGCTCTGTTGACTAATGAGTTTGCCGACCACTGCACTGGGCTAACAAGAAACCCAGATATAAGCTGTGCACTGTCCTCTGAGACAAGAAAGAGAAAAGGAGATTCAGGTGAAGGGTTAGATAAGGGGTAGAAATTTTTTCTTCTTAAACAAAAAGAGAGAAAAGCAAGGTCAGGTGAAGATTAAGATAGAGGTAGAAATTTGAAGAAGTTTCTGCCTGGTAGAATTTTAATTTTTCAGTAAAAAAGGAAGTAAGGTCATGTGCTAAAAAGTATCATCAGTGCTAAGCAAAATATCAGGTATATAATATGTGCTCAATAAATCTCTACTGAATATTGTGAAAGAATTAAAAATACTGGAGTATTTTATATGAGATTTTGAATTCTGATTCCACTAAAGGTCAACTTGGTGTGGGTTTATTTTTTATAAAACTGTCCCCAAATGTTTATATAGACATTTTGATGTAGGAAGGAATAGCCTCACTAACAGAGAAGCACACGAAAATTTTATGACAATTTTGAGATAGGTATTTGTGTTTATAATAAAAATCTGTGAGTAAACATTTTGGGAATTCACCTCAAACAAAATAGTAAAGCCACAATAGTTAACCTTTCCTATGAAAAAGAAATAACCTCTCCTAGTCATTCCATTCAAACCCAAAGTTCTCATTTCTCTTCAAATCAAACTATACTGTAAAGAAATAACTTGTGTTTTAAAAGTTCATAAATAAAGGGCTTTAGGGGAGGTACCACCTATCAAGATCTATTCAAAACATAAAGGGGCCAAACCGGTTTGGCTCAGTGGATAGGGCGTCGGCCTGCGGACTGAAAGGTCCCAGGTTCAATTCCGGTCGAGGGCATGTATCTTGGTTGCGGGCACATCCCCAGCAGGAGGAGTGCAGGAGGCAGCTGGTCGATGTTTCTCTCTCATCGAGGTTTCTAACTCTCTATCTCTCTCCCTTCCTCTCTGTAAAAAATCAATAAAATATATTTTAAAAAAAAATAAAGGGTTAAGTAGCTGTTTTCAAAAGGCTTTTCTGAACTGAAAGAATTTAATAACAAATAAAGTGATTTTATAGCATAACTAAGATATGGGACTGCCTTACTAACTAGCTCACTTCAAAAGATTACCATGGGGAAATAAAAAGGGTATCATGGGGGACATGTATAAGAAACTTCACAATAGTGTTCTTCACATTCACCAAAACTGTAAAATCTTTAATGTCCACCCAAAAGAAGATAAATTGTAGATAAATTCTTACAATAGAACACTAAACAAACTATAAGCAACAAGGATAAATCTTAAAACAATGTCCAGTAAAGAAACAAGATGCAAAGAAATAGGAAATTTTCATTTATATAAAAGTTCATAAATAAACCAAACTAGAATGTGCATGTTCACATACGAAGATGGAGGAAAAGCAAGGAAGTGGCTAGCATAGAGGCTACATCAGGGGAGAAGGGCGTGTGATGGGAAAAGGGAATAAATATAGTAACACCTGCTCTAACTGCCTCTGTACCGGGAGGACCTCAAGAGCAAACTGGACCAAGCAACTGGAGACCAGGACAGAAAGACAGCCGGGAAATCTCTATAACTGATTAGATGCTGGGCTAAAGCAGTGGTTTCTTTCTTTCTTTCTTTTTTCAGAAGAGAAACAAGATATATTTAAGAAGCTGCCATTAAAAATGCCAAAATTTATTATTTAAAATAAATACTTCATTAATGTACCTCCCTCATTATTTTCCACTAGTTGACTGATTTAGTTCATTAATTAGTTCATGGGTTAACTAAAACACAAACAAAAATAAGCTGTATCCTGGAGGCAGGTTTGAATGTGACAAGCTCCTTTTACATTTATAACTAACCTATTTCCTCTACTTAAAGGCCGACTGTTATTTATTTCCATACAACCACAAAAGGCGTAGTTGAGATGCCAGTAGAGGGCATTTAAAGACCGAATACCGGGAGGTATGAGGGCATGGAGGGGAAGAAGGAAAACTCGGACACCGTCATCTTTGCAAGCTTTTCCTGATGCCGCGATCCTTGACTTTATTTAAAGGGAAAGAAGTATTCCTGTGCGTATCTGGGTATCAGGCCCATGACTGCCTCGGTTCTCAACTGCCTCCACTAGTTTCAGACAAAAAGCCCGCTCACCCTGCCTTTCCCGGGCACTGAAATTACATGAGGTTTTCATGAGGACGCCCTTCCCCTCGGCCCTTCGCCCCCGAAGTCTGTCAAGAACTCAGAAGTGAGAGGCTGGGAGCCAGGAGCCCGGCTGGACTCCCCGATCTGACTTCCAAAGGCTCAGCTCCGTCCGCAGCGTCTCTAAGCCCAACAGCCCCCCGCAACCCAGCGCAGGGCGGCAGGACGCCAAGCGGTCACCATAGGAACTGGCCAGCCCTGCGCTCCCGAGAAAGGGCGGCGGGAGCAGGGCGGCTCCCGGAGGGCTTCCCGGGCCGAGCTCGGCCGCCACTGCCCCTCACAGCAGCTCAAGCCGCGAACCCCTGCCTCGGGGTCAGCCCGCCCCGACCCCACACACGCCCCTGGCCGCTGCCTCCTCAGAGGCCTTCCGGCCCAGAAACTGCTGGGCCCCCACCGGGCCATC